ATTGTTTTGTCATCCCATATGATACATAAATATATTATAGGAGAGCAAATATGCCATTTTCTCTCCGTTCTGCCTCCTGGAATGTCACTTTACAGTTCAGGGAATTACCACTTGTATCAGATGTGGTATACCAAGTCTGAAATGTTTTGCTTGTCTCCAGTTAGTTGTAGAGAGATCCAGAGGAGATTCAGGAGGAGTAGAAATAAAAGGGACTTTCCCATGTATTTAAATTTATGGCTTAAAGGGAAGGAGCTAACACCRTGTAATGGGGCAGATTATTTCTGAGTGTGCCGAGTGCTTTGTGTGAATAATTTTTTCCATATGCAGTGAAAACCCTCTGCATGGTGGGTTTTGATCCATCTTTGCACACACACCAGCTGCCCTTACTCACCCTGACTGGCACTTTTCAGGGGTACTGCTCGTAAAGAGGAAGATGTTGGTGCCTTTAGTACCAATGAATTGTTGTGTGGAGTTACTTGTGGTAACTTCTGTATTGTTGCGCCCTGAGATTGGTGTGAAATTTTTTCAAACATGCCGGAAGAATCTGTGTATTTCCTACTAGAGGGGTGGAAATGGATATCCTGATCTTTTTGACAGGTAACAGACAATCTAAACCCACAAGCCTATGTCTTTAGGCTGCCAAAACCCCACAAGGTGTGTCTATGTCAGCTAAACCCATGGTTGCTCATTTTGCCGTTTACATTGCTTCACTTCACACAGTAAACTTGGTGTTTACGGAGCAGAGGATGTTATTGCTTTGTGTCTTACAATGAAGTAAGTTGCTTCAGCTTTTCTGTTTCTGCCGAGTAGCCTCTTGTACTTATTCATATCTTTTCCATGAGAATAATACCTTCTTAATTTTTTAGCTGCCTCACACACCTGATGCTGTTGTGTACCAGCATGACCACCAGTAATTTGGTTTTATCTTTCATTACTCTGCTTATATTATGTATTTTCTCCCTAAGGCCATTGCTGTTGCCCCTTCATAAGCCAAATGCAGCCTTTAATATTTGGCTGTCCCTGAACATGAGACTGAAGTTCTTTTTGAGTGGTGTTAATCATTGAATCAGTATTTCATTGTCCCCTGAGGCAGAATCCAGGCTGTGAATTCTGACTTGGTAGCCTCTTAGGTTTTCTGTGGCAACTCTAAGTATCAGCATGAAATTGGGAGCCCTTCCCCTGCAAGGACTGCGCATGTTCACATTCCCAGAACACAACGAACAAAGAATTTTTGAATATGAGAGAAGTGAAATATCAGAAAACTGATAGATCCATTGAATGCCTGTGCACAGTTCCTGGTAATGTGTCTGTTGAGCAACCTTGCTGGAAACAGTCCAGTGACACAGGTGGCTGCCAGAGCCCTCCCCTGTGTGCCAGCAAAGCAGAGCTGGATCACAAAGGATGCTCTGTGTGCAAGTGAGCAGTGGAAGGGGTGCCCGGTGTACCTCATGTGTTCTCCCATGTGAGGAGCACTCCCTWCTCCCTGGATATCTCTCTCAACCAGGGACATGAAAGAAAACAGAAAAAAAYGCTTTGATAGACTGTGTAGGCTGGGAATGTAAATGTAGTAACAGGCAGGAGTGAGAGATGTGGAGCTTTTTTGCCTGTAGGTACTGAGTACTTTGCTGCTGTTCCCTGCAGCCCTGGTGCTGTTTTCTGCCTTTTGCATTAGCTGCTCTGTGTCTGAACATGCATGTGAATGATTTCACTCCTTAGCAGGGTKTATGCAAAGCTGCTGTTCTTGTTACTTTTCCTGTTTCTCTTTCACCAAACAGAAAGATTTCAATGTGCAAAACACTTGCTTTTGTGATTTTTGCTGTGAGAACAAGGTCTTTTTGAATTCTGAAAATTTCGTTTCAGGAGCTCTTGAAATTTGGGTATTTTCAAGTCAGAACAATCTCCCAAACTGCGCAGTAAAAAATGACTTGCAAATTTTTGTGCCTTCATCTGCAGTCTTCCATATTCAGATGAAGAGGCCTCCCTCAGCTGAATTCACAAGGTGAAATTGGTAATGACTCTTCAGGAGCAATACCAGTCAAGTACAAGTCAAAAGTGCATAATACTCCCCATTTTGGTGGCTTAAACTAGTCTAAATACAATATATTTTTGTTTGTTTAAATAGTCCAGAAAACACTGCAAATATGCTTTGTCTTTTAAATCTGCTTTTTGTGTCAGAAATCTGAAAAATAATTATGTTAATAAGTGTTAATAATAAGCTGTGCACCTTCTTTTCCTATCAAATGCTGTATTCCATCTTGAGGTGCAAGTTCCAGCTAGGAGCTTCTAGTTTGATTCATTGTTCCTGCAGTTTCTTGGGAAGATTGAGCAGGGTTTGAGGATAGGTTCCTCTCAATCTTAAGTCAAATTTATCTTACATGTAATTTCCAGGCAAAAATAGCGTTTTGATCTTTATGGTTTAAGAATTGCAAATGACTTTYGTATCATTTGCATTTGCACCCACTTAACTCAGAGTGATAGAGAAGGTGGAGGTGAGCAAGCACAGTGATATTAATATGTCATATAAAACAGTTTTGGCTTGTTTTGGTTGCTTTGGGGTTTTCTTGTCTTTTCTTAATCACATCTGAGCCATTGTAGAAAGACTGTAAGATTAGTTCAAGGCCTGCATAAAGTTAAATTCACTGACACTAAACTGATAGTGTCAGCTTCTTTTCTAATTTTACCTTAGTATTTTTAAATTGCTGCAATATAAAGCTGAGATATCTTTGTTTCTATCTTGACAGGCAAACTGGCACAGCTTTATCAGTTTTTAACTCCTGACTTGTTATAATGCTCTCAAAGATTGACCTCGAGTAATAGTACATTTTGTAACATAGGCTGTGGCTTGTCTGCTTTATGTTGATGAATAAAGACAGRATGCTTCCTACTGGAAACTACAGCTGATGATATCCAGGTGTGTGCTGAACCTGGTAAAGAATAATGCTCTGAAGTAGTAGCTCTTGAGCCAGTCTTAGTAATCCTGTTGTAATAATATACATATTATATTAATAATATGTGTGCAGGTGTAGTACAGGTACATGCAGTGCGCTCTCTAATGGGGCAAGATCCATCCTCATGTTATAATAACGCTCACTGTGATGAGGAGGAATGGGGTGTGTCCTGGYACAGGGTTCCTACTGTGGTTTTGAGGTTTTCTTCATTTTCTGAGCCTGCATTGCTGGGAGCCCATATACATGTTGTAAATTATGGTAGCTAATACCTGCTCTGAATTGTAGGTTCTTGAATAAGTTTCGCTGTGTGGGTGGGTTCAGTGCTCCCTGGAATGGAATAAATCTACTGGCAGTGGCCTCTTGCCCTGGGAGTAATCAATGAACTCCAAGAATGAGGGATCTTCTGGCCCCCAGAGGGAGGATCTGTCATTTTAGTGCGTGTCTTCTCTTCAAGGGGCACTGAGCTTGTCTTGCCTGGGAGCTGAGCTGGCTAGGTGCAGCCTTGAACCTGAAATCTGTGTCATCAGGCTGGCATGGCCAAGCAAACAGGGAGCTGTTTGCCAAGCACTCTTGAAGCAGCATGTAGTTTCAGAGGTGTTTTGTGCTCAGGCAGAGTAATGACCCCCTCTGACTTGTGTCCTTTGAAGGGTTTTGTAACACATTTTCAGCCTTTCGGYGGAGCATGTGGGTGCTATGGTGTACCGCTGCACCAATTCCCAGCTCTCCTGTGGAAATCTGAAAGGCCCTGCCAGATCAGTCTTTAGCTGATCTGAGAGGCAACATGAAACAGAGAAGGGATAGAGTGTCCTTGTGTGTGTAAGCCAGTAGTRTAGACAAGCTCTCTGCATCACCTGTGCTGGGCTCTCTTTCCTCCTGTGGGTAAAAGGGGTGGTGAGGTTACAGGAACATGAGCTGCAGCATGTTTTGGAGACTGCAGGACAAATTTTTAAAGCAGCTGAAAGGACAGGAATATTTAATGTACATCTTCACATTTTTTTTCAGTGTGTGCCTTTGTCAGGGTTGTAAGGACAGGGYTGTAAGCACAACAGCTGGCCATGGCTGCGAGGGTCCTTCTGCAGCCTCTGCTCCCATTGTCTCACCCCTGCCTTGCTCCTGCAGATGCGATTGGAAGTAACCATAGGAAAAGAAGTGGTTTTCTCTACTTGTTTGATGAGCAAAATGTGTTTCCTGAAAGAACAGACAAACGCCACAGTGGCTCAAAGGAGAGAGATCTCCATAGTGTGCAGGCAATTCTGGAARCAGTTCCTGATTTGCAGTGCCTCATCTGTAGTACACTGGGAACTCTGAAAGCAGCAGGATGAGTAGCTAGGAGAAGCTTGTGAGGCACCAAGCAGTACTGAATGAGTTTGGAATTGTCATTTCCTATAAATCTTTAGTAAAATTACMATAGGTCTTTGTTTCTTTTGGCTCRCATGTATGAGAACAATAAGTAAAGATTCACTTCAATGGCCRGATCCCTCACAAGAGTGCTCTYTTGTTTTGTTTTACCTTCAGTGCAACGAAACTTCCTTCTTTTTTGAAGCACGTAACAAGGTCACATGCAAACATCTCTGGAAGTGCTGTGTAGAACATCACACATTTTTCAGGTGAGTGATGCAGAAGTTACGTTGTGTTTACTATGGGGCTGCTACGCTGAGTAGGAGCCTTGTTACACCTGCACAGTGGTGAAACAAAGGCTTGCTTCTTGATGCTGCCTTTAGCAATGCTGAAAATGAGTGAACTGAAGATCCCTCCTGCAGTCTCACTWCTGTGGCAGGGTGAGTTTGCCTTCTCCAAAAATTAAATAAAAGGGTGCTGATCCCAGCAGTTTACACTTGACTCTKAATTAAAGTGGTGTGTTGCCAAAATAGAAGGGGACAAACAGCTGGCTTTGGGAGACTCTCAGGCCCATAAGAGTCTGTCCAGGGGTAGGGATGAAGAGGAACTAGCAGAATTATTTTTTTTTTTAGCCCAAATTTGCATTCTTTTTTCTTGACATGGAAGGGGACTAAAATTCAGACCTATCTATGCAGCTTACTCTGTTGTTTCATTTTTCAAACTACACAGGGTGCCAGAGAATGAATCMAACTCTCTGTCAAGAAAAGTCAGCAAGTTTGGATCCATAGGTTATAAACATCGGTACAGGTGATTTTTAAAAAATTGTTTAAACTTCAGTTCTTTCCTTCTTCATTCCTTCTTTTCTCCCCTTTCCTTCAAATGAAAGAAAATCCCCACCCAGAGTATGACCCAGTATAGTTCTCGAGGCAAAGGATGAATCAGGGCTATTTTAACAGACTCTCCTTGGGAGTCTGGCAGTTTTGGGACAAATGTAAATTTATTCCCATTCTCCAGATACCCAGAATTGGTTGAAGCCTGCTGTACCTGTGTCCAAAGTGGGAGCAGCCCTGGCAGTGCTTTAAGTCAGTATCTCCTTATAAATTCTGAATTTATGCTCATGTCCTAAAGGGGTTTTCCTGGAAGCTGGGTAATACCAAAATGAGGATGTATCTTTTCTAACTTGAAGAGGTGAGAAAACGGATGAATGTTCAAGGCTCTAAGACTTGAAARATGCTGTAAACTGGAAATTAAGGGTGAATAAGGAACACTGTTTCCACTATCATGCAAGAAATAAATGGATCATAATGAATATAGTTAATCATCATTAGTCAGGCAGATCTTTGTCACTTTGTCTATTTCATAATCCAGGTTATTTGAGTAATCACATTCCCTGGCATGATCCAGATTCTCCTTACTGTGGATAACAGGGGAATTATTGTCCTGCCTTTTTTATTTGTAGTGGRTCCTGACCTGCATTACCCCATCTCTGACAGTGGATAGGAGTTCTCTCGATCCTTGCCAGAGCACTGCAGATGAATTTTTTCTATTGAGCCACTCCACAGACTGGAGCAGGGTACTTGTGCTGAGCACGAGAAAGTTTCTTACTGGCAAGAACTTTCCAGTAGATTAAARACCAGCATGCAATGAAGCAGTTAGTCATATTTCTGCTATTGCTGTTGGGGGTGCATTTCAGTTCATTTTCCTTTGATAATAAATTTAGTGGGTGATCTGTGATCAGGTTTGCCATGTTGGGACGATGGTCAGAGCTGACAATTCTGATTTTCTTCCCTCTTTATCTCTGATCTCCATTGTAGCACCAAAAGCAGTGACTGTTGTGTATGTGCACGCATCATTAGTTTAAAGCAGAAACCATAATCCCACTGTTTTCCTGTGTATGTGGGGGGACCATGATATCCTCATTTGGCTTGGTAGTGTTTACTTTATTTTTTTTATTTTAATTTTTTTTAGATTTTTATTGTTTTTTAAATCTTCTAGGTACTTCTCATTATGTGTCAGACTGTTTTCAGGAAAGCAATTTTCTTGTCTTAAGATCAGGTGCTTTGGAGGTCTTAGTGGGCATGGAAGGTCCTATTTCCAGATGTTGGGTTAAAGTTGCTTATGGATCTTGCAAGATGATTATGGCTACCAAATTTAAAAGTTGGGCAGAAAAGTTTTCTGGCTGACATGGGAGTATATTTTAAACTGAATATATAAAGTGTTACTGTGATGTTAGAATTTGAAAATTTTTSTCTCTTAACTCTTACAATTTTGAGAATATGAGAATTCTGCAGTGCTGTCTGTGAAGGCTATTGGTGAAAATATTATCAGTATTTAACGGAATCTATTCACATAATTCAGAAAATTTGCATATGTAAAACCTATATTGTTGCTTGATACTTTCTAGTACAATACCTTTTACTTCAAAATCACCAAACTTGGGGGGAATTAAGGAATTAATAGCAACAATTACTTCTCTTGTGTAGTAAGTTTCCAGAAGCAAACTTGGAATTTTTGGGAGAAATAYGAATTTTAGATTTTTGTTATGAACATTATATCCTGCTTAGTCACATGGAGAGGAACATTAAAATGAACATAAAATAATTTATTTAAAATGAATAACTTACTTCAATTGTGCAGTGAAGAAAAGCCTTACTGTAAGTGAGAATCAGCACTTCTACTCAATTTGTTGCCATCTGGAGCTGTGCTAGTGAAAGTCCTTTATTACAGTTGTTTTGCCGTCTTTTAGATTGTCATTCCATATGGCAGAAGAGTAGCCCCTAAATGACTGGAACGGAGCAATATTAAATATGTGTGAACACTATTAAGTAAGTTTTTCTGGGAGGAAAACTTACAGAAAAAAAATAGGAAGGAATAATATTACTTAAGAAAGGAGTATCTCAGAATATTGTAGGCTAGAAAAGGTCATGCTATCTTAGGCTATTCCTAACAAACCACATTTTGTTTAGTGCCTTATCTCCAGTTGAAAGTGCTAAATATAGAAGAGCTTGGCACAATCTGTTGATGATTTTGCCAGTGACTGACTCAAAACAAAATTCAGGGTAGTGCTACTTAGCAGGAGAACCAGAAATGGGATGACAAGCTAAAAAACATGCTACCCAAACACTATGCATTTTTACAAGTCTAAAGATCCTATTTGATAACCTTTTCAAGTGTTTTCTCATKATTTTATTGTGTTTTAAAGTGGCAAAACGTCTTTGCGAATGACCAGAGACCCTTCTGTGCAGCTTCCGCGGCCTGGCCAGAGCATTGAAAGGAGTCGCAGCAAGACTTACCCCAAAAGAACACAACAGACAGGTCGGTCCTTCTCTGCTGCYCTGGGGGAGATGTCTTCTTGTTTTTTTGGTCGATTTTGTCATCATGAGGTGACTCAGAACTGCTGCAATGTCCTCGAGGATCTCTCAGAAAGGTTTCTATGTTTTGCCTTAGGTCAGTATTTGTATCTAAGCTTAACACGATACAAAACCTCCGGCTTTCTGAACAAAAGAATTTCTGTGGATTAAAGATGATACAACCCCATGTGTGTGGGTCTGATGTAAGGGTTGAAAGGAAAGTTTGAAAACAGGCAGTGAGAGCATGTTTTTTTTTCCTCAGGAGTCCTGTCTCTTGCAGATACGTGTCTTGGTTAGTGTCCCATTGTTTGGGCTGCTTGAACCAAGGTGCCACTTTTGTGCACCTTCTTCTCAGTTCAGGAGCAGTATCCCTTCATTTTGATATTAAGTGGTGGAACAGAAGTTGGTGCCCTGCAATTTTAACAGGCTTCAGATGTGTGAGCTGGAAATCTTTTCTGCATGCAGAAGCTGTCACAGCAAGCTGGAAGTTTTTACAGGTRTCAGACAAAGTAGGATTATGTGTGGATCACATAATCCAGAAGTCATGCCCTGAATAATGGGTGATGCTCRCTGAAATTTAGTAATGGAGATGTCAAACTCCAGTTCTACATGTGATTACATGGCAATCCTTAGCTTCCTCTGTGACAGAAGGTGCATACATTTCAGCCAAACTTGTCTATGGATTTAAGCATGTGTGTGTGTATTTGCTTTTTGAGAAAAAGCTTGTCTGGGCTTTGAAATGTAAACAATATTTCTCTTTTATCATGGGTTAATATGCCACTATAAAATTTGYGTACCTATTTTTAAAAAGAGTGGACATTCATGTCTGGAAACCTCCAATGTTCACCCTGAAAGAAGTCTTTTTCGTTTTGACTCAGAAACAAAATGTGTTCTGCCTTTTAGCTGTAGTGGCTCTTGAAATGTAACATAATTTGAAGAATAGCCTTGGAAAATAGAGGCAGTTTGCAACATTAAAAGAAAACTATTTTATTTTATTTAGCTTAGTGTAAAAAGAGAAGAATTGATTTGCTTTCTGATTATGATCTATTTTGTTGTATCTGCAGTTTTAAGGGGGTGCCTGAGAGTACAAGAAGCTGTTCACCCTTAAAACTAATGAATTAACCTTTTTGTTCAGCTGGACAGTCCTGTTCTTAGGGCAGTAGTTCAAGCCAAACATCATTCCCTGTCTCACTAGTCCCCAGTTCTGTTTGTAGAAGTTWGTGTGGCTATCTGTCAGCTAAAACTCACCTCTTGGATAGAAGTAAACGTTCTCCTCAGCACAGGGTCAGTCTGTGCTGCTGCAGGGCTCAGGGCTGTGCAWGTATTTTGTTTGTTCATTTGGCTGKGAGGAAAAGCTGAAACCTTCCCTTATCCTCTTCTGCTGATGTAACATGATGCAGAATTCTCTGGGCAACATGTGTTGGCTGTTTTGATGCTTTTATACACTTTGTCTCACTTTAAAATGAAGTGGCTGCTTTTTCACCATTTTACTTATGTGTAGTTTTGTAATCTCTGTCATCCATCTGTTTTCATTTTTAATTCAACGTAATTGATTACCTATGTGCTCCAAGTGTGCAGTCATATTCTTCTGGGGCAAATGTACTAACTCAAATGATATTAATGTTAAATGAATTTGTTTCTTTTCCTCCTCAAAATAAGGGTTAAGGGAAGAGAACATTCCAATGCCATCTTTCCCTATTAATAAGCATATTTTTCCTTTTTTTTCCTTTTTTCCATTCTGTCTTTGGCTATTCACAATGCTAAACGTTGAGTATTCTCCATTTAAACAGGCTTTCAGAAAGTGAAAGAACACTAATGCTCCCTCTCCTCCCTGTGTCAGACAACGTGTGACAGCCTATTGCATAAAATAAACCTACCTTTTTTGATCTAAAATTGTTCTTGGTTATAACAAAGTCCCTACTGCACAATAAATCAAGACTATTTGGCATATTTTATGTGTCACTTGCTTAAATACATTATCCCAATGTAGATTTTATTTTATAGACTAGTTTTTATCTTGGAAATTAACCAGGTAGTCTAGTAAGTTTGATAAATTATGTAAAAGTTTCCCTGACTAAAATGTTTGAGAAAATGATGGGACATTCCTTCTTRAAATAAATATTCYTTTTACATAATGACACTATGCAGATGGTGATCCTTGATGGCTAGTCCTTTGTTCTTCATTTTCTGTTTGTAATATGGTGTAATAATTACTTGTCCARTGGTGAATATTACTTGTCCAATACCTTAAACAGTGTGATTTTAGTTTGCATGTATTATATCTTAAGGTATTTTCCATCAAATACCAYTTTAATTAATATTCAACTGGACATGGCTTATAATTGAATTTTTTTGAACGAAAGTCAGGGTTCCATTTATTTTCCCAAAATCCAGCAACACCTCACAAATAGCTCATATGAAATAACTTCTTCCCACCTTCTCCGAGTTCAGCATCTTTCCTCACCTGCTTCTTTCCCTATTTTCCTTTTCTTAAGATGGCAAAGTCAAATGTATCAAAGGCTTCATTTTTGCAGTTACTGCAGTTAGCCATTCTGTTTTTTTTTTTTTTAAAATTTTTTTTGGCTTTTTTTTTGKTTTTTTTTTAATGTACGGGTGCCAGTGATGGGATCAGTCACAGCGGTGGTTTTGAGGACAGTGAGAGCAAGTGCGTGACTACAGCGTATAGAATTAGCATTGCCTCCACAAGATAAGTGTCTGTGAAGTGCTGAAWCCTCTAACCTCTGACATAATTAAAATCCTTTCCCTTGTTTCTTCTTTTTTATACATGTTGTGGTGCCTTAAACATAGTATGTGTTTTTTATATTTTTTTCCGTCACCTGAAGGTAGAAGTTAGTTATCCCCAGCACAGCTGAATGATAATATTTCTTTGTTTCATTGGTCCATTAAAGTATGGAGAAGTCCTGAGGACTGCAGACACTTGGTGAACTCTGGGTTAAGAGTTGGAGCAGGTGCTAAGACAATGATACAAAATATTATTTCTGTTTTCAGTCTGGTTTACCAGAGAGATTGAAGGAGATGATAATGTGAACAGAGAGAAACCATTTTTCTCATATAAAAGCCATTGCCATTGTTTCTCCTGATAGGATGCACAGTGCAGACCTTTTGCTTTCAGCATGGCAGATTATTGTCCTAGAATACAGATTGCAATGGTTTAAAATGCAGTAACCTCCATTTTGTCATTTGTTTGATACATTTCATATCTCAGTTGTTCTAGGGCTAGTGGAAAAATCATATCAGGAAACTTTAATGGCTATGCTTTTATACTGCATTTTGACTGTGGTTTTATAKTAGTGCATGGGGTTTTTCTGCCACATGTTTAGGCTGATATTMAAATCAGTGTTCATTAGGTGAAAAGGTTTGTTTGTTTTGTTCTGTCAAATCTTGTGAGATAAGTGTAACTTGTTTCATTTGTTTATTCTTCCCATTTCAGCAGAAAGAGAATTACAGTTGTGTTTTGCTCTGGATGCAAATAATAAATTCAAACATGGACCAGGATCTCTCGCTGTTCTGTCTTACCCTCTTAGGGCTACTCTGATGATGTTCARCTTTTGCAACACAGGGCGAAAGTGTTCATTATTATTTTGGCTGAATGCTGGACACAAAAAGCTCCTTGGGAACATCCTCCCAGGACAGACACTGACATGACCAGACCTGTTGCCTGGCAGTGGGAAACACATTGCTGAGCGTTTGTTGTTTTTCGGTAGCTGAGGACTTGGTTTATCCCTGTGTTTCACTCTGGTCAGTTGTGTAAAACCAGTGTAAATAAGTGCTGGCATTCTGATTTAGAGGCCAGGTGGAAAATTGGATGTGGCTATTACAATTACAGTTCTGTCTGTGTTGTGATAATCCCTAAGCAATCACATTTTGTTGCAGATGCCTGTCACTACCCTGCTTCACCAGCCTCAGCCATGGCACACAGAACTGTTGGTCTGTTGGCCCAAAGTCTTGCCCCAGAAAATTGTGAGATTGGGTTTAAARTTTAGATTTTTGAGAAAATGGATCGTGGGGTGGTTTTATCTGTTTCTGAATGTATTTAATTTGAGCTTTGCACTTTAAAGTTTACTTAAAACCCCATGTTTTAGAAAAGGCTGGGTGTGACTGCTTCCGCATTTCAGTTGTGGGGAGTGAGATGAGCAAACTCTTGCGGCTAAAGGCTTGGAAAGTAATATGAAAACCAGCCATTATCACAGAGTAGKCTGTGCTGGTGTAGACATATGGCAGTCCATTCATTTTTGTGGGCTCTTAGTAGCACAGGGTGCAAAGCAGGAGCTCTCACTGCATGTTTTCCATTCAATAACACTCAGCTGCTCTCATGACGAGGTTTAAATACAAACACTCCTTCCAGATAATGTCAGCTAAGTGACTTTTCCTGATAAGAAACCGGCAAGACCAGCTACCTACCTTGCCAGGCTGATTGGTTTTGGACACTTGAGTTTTTAAAAATGAAATAGTTGGCTTGAATGGAAGACACAAATCAGGGTCAAAATGGCTGTAAATGGGAAGTAAGGGTGTGCATTCACCTCACCGGAAAAGTTCAGTGCAGTGCAGTAAGGGAGTACCTTGTCCAACCAAAGGTAAACAACCAGYGAGACCTTTCAAGAATGAATGTTTTTGGCTGTCTAAGGTATTTTTGAGAGGCTTATTTACCTTGTCATGCAAGAAACAGCAATATAACTGAGTTTTTGCAATGGGGTTAGTGTTTGGGCAGTTTTTCTGGAGTCTACTCTTTTATTTTAGGTAATGTTRTCATACAGAGGTATGAGTTGGTAGAATAGTATTGTAGTCAGTAAAAGATACCGGAGGAGGTGGAACATACTTAAAGACAATTATTACTCTTTCTGTAAGTGTGGACAGAAAGCTCCTGATTAACCCAGCATGGCTTGACAGCCAGAAGTGACTGAGTGCCTGCAGCATGATAAATATATTGCCAAACAGCAAAGGATCAATTCTGGACCTGTCTATTACTTTTACGTAATTTGACCCTTGCTTGTTTTTCTTATCGCTCCATKAAGTTACAAGCACTTTATGTGCCTTAATCAAAAGCTGCCTTGCAGASGAATGTGTGAAGTACTGAGATTAATTCCTTTGTTTGAAAAAGTCATATATTTGCTKATTTCTGCAAAAGACTAGCAGACCTAACCTGTAAGAGAAGCAATTGATGGGCAAACAAATGCCTTAGCATATCTCAAATATTTGTGTTGAGGYAGAAGAGAGTTCAGAGACTTTGTATACCAAAGGGATGGTACAGGAAGTTGAGGGAGATTGTGAAGAAATCCTTTCTCTGAGATTAAGGAGAAAATTTATCATACAAAATCTTGCCACAGCTTAATTTAAGACATTACATTTTTGTTTTAGCCAGACAAAATGGCTTGGGGTTTGTACCACTATATTAACAATGCTGTGATGCTGTTACTTGTGCCCAGAGGACATAGCATTATAATCTTCAATCTATTTTGTTATTTTCAATGAACATGCTCAGAATCCTGGCTAGAGGAGGTCTACATCAATAATGATATTGTTTTGTTGTTCTACTTGACATCTGTTTCTATAGATGGTAACAGTTTTGTAAGRAATGTCTGAAATTGCCAATTAAGTGGAAAGACAATGTGTGAACTGAAGGAAAATGACAGGTTAATATTAACAGCATAGCATGGAAACTGAAATCGTATCACCAGCAGGACCCCATCTGTATTCTCCTCACACCTTTATTCTCACTGTTGCCTGAACAGGGAATTTCTTTCTGTTGACTGGGGCAGAGTATCCCTTTGAGAACAACAGCTTCAGACTTCTCTGTCTTACGTGGAAGAATAGTGAATATGCTTTGTGCTAAACTTTATCATGCTCTTGTACAGCTAGAAATAAGGAAAAGACATAAAAGTGTGATCCTGATACACCCCAAAGAAGTAGAGCACACACCAGATATCTCCTGTGCCATTTTACCTCTCATGCAGCCCAATGTTCAGCAGGTGATTATGCTGAATAGTTCTGCAAAACATTTGTGTTGCAGGACTCACCTGTTTTGGTTTTCGTATTTTTTTCAGGTTCTAAGAGCGTGAGCCAGATTACAACAAATGGGGAAGACGAAGGAACAACCAAAATTATTGCACCTTCTCCAGTAAAAAGGTATGTAGACCTGCAGTTTTCTCACAGCTTTTAAGCATTTGTGTATGTATTGGATAGAGGAACATATCTAGTAATCACTAGTAACAGTTTATTCTTCCCTTGAGTTCAGGACCATCTGATCTTCTGCTGATAAAAGTCAGAAAGTGTTGCCAAATAATTCATTTTATAAAACCCTGATATTCCAAAGAATGTGGAACAGGGATTTCAGGTGACACATGGTTTGAACATCCACAAAGCAGCACAAGTTAATGGGAAGGCGGTCAGTTTCAGGTTTAAATAGAAAAGAAAAGAAAAGAGGTAATGACCCAAAGGGCACTGGTCAGGATAATCCTGTGAGTCTTTCCCCTGGGAGMTGTCAAAGCTGACTGTCAGAGCCCTCAGAAGGCCCATGGGCCTTCTGTCTCTGAGCAGAGAGGTGGGGTGTGAGCAGGGAGGAGCTGGGCACAGGCTCTCTCCCAGCAGTTTTGTTCATCTTGCAGTGATTCCCCACTGCACTTTGCAATTCATAATAAAACTCAGGAGTGTTTGTTCCTGATCCATGGGAGTAGTGAATTGTCAGGACTCCTCTGGATTTCTGTGGTCTGCTTTGTCTAATTTATTAGTGCTGAAGTACAGATCTCTGGTTATTAAGCATATTCAAAAGGAAGAGGTAGGGCTGGGATTCAGAGGGAGGTTCATATCCCCATCCATAACTTTTAGGTGGAATTTGTGTGCCTGAATCAGAAAAASAGTGATCTGACAAAAGAATGAGTCAAAACCACAGCGCTTAACCCTTTTATTTAGTTGCCTGGATATCTGTATCTGCATGCTTGATAATCCTGACAGTTGGGTCTTTTTCTTAACTGAGTAACTCTTAACTGGAGTTATCTACACATTGGAGCTGTGGCCTTCACATTTCGGACTGACCTCTGAAAAAGGATCTAAAAGATTTACTGCAAATACTTCATGGATAGTGTTCCCTATTGTCTAATATTTATAACTTCCATATATAAATGTAARTTTACTCCAGAAGAAAAGTTAAGTTGCTGCCTCATTTTGAGGGAAATTGAATCCATTATTACAGTACCTGGAAAATAATGGCAATCATATGTTAAAAGAAAGTTGATGTTTTAGCCACTTGGTCATGCTGAAGCGAAACTGTTAAGCAGAAAACAATGCAAAGATTAAAAAATACATAAAGGGAGAGCACAAAGAGGATGGATCCAGGCTTTTTCCAGTGATGACAAGTGACAGGATCAGGTGGGCACACACTAAAGCACAAAAGGTTCCCTCTGAACATTTTTTCCCTACAGAATTTTTAGCAATTAATTKTTAGAAAGAATTGGAAAGGCAGGTTGTAGAGGAAGAACCAAAACAAGGGGCTCTCAATATGACAGCTTCAAGGTTTCTGAGCTTAGTTTCGTACCTTGACAGCTTAAATGAAGTTCACAGGCAGATTCTTACTGAGTCATGTTTCAGACAGTGTAACTCACTTCCACAAAAAAAAAAAAAGAAAAAAAAAAGAGGAGAAAAACATAAAAAAGTGTTGGAAGTTGTTTTTCTTGCATTCCTTCTATTTAAGATTTGATTTGTTTCTCTCTGTGTTCTTGTCTGTACCCATAAAACACCTTTTGGGCCTCCCAGGCTTGGTATGTGTGAGAGGTAACAGAAAATTTGTGTAGCATTTACAGCTTGGAAGTTTGCTACATCCTATGTAATTCTTGCATTACTTGTCAKTGATGCTTGCAGAGCATCTTTCAGCAGTGTTCACAAGCTGAGTTTTCATATTTAACATCTTACTCAGTGTTGAGATCTACGGTTGGTCACTTCTGTGTAAGTAGTGTAAAATAAAAAAAAGATAAAAAACCCCCCAACGATAGAAATCTCACATGAAATTCAGATCCTAACACTTTCAGGTACTTTGAATGAACTCAGTACCTTTGGCAACTGCACGTACTGCTGGTATTTGCAGAGGTGCCACGCCCTAGTGTTCTGTCTGTAAAGTGTGTGTCTGCTCCAAATGAATAATGACTTGGGATTTTAATGCAGTAAATTCACCTCCTGGTACTTCTTTCTATTTTTTTAAGATTTGACAACGGTATTCACGTTTATTTAAGTTCAACCCAGGTATTGTTCAGTAGTTCATGCTGTGCAAATCAATTCTTTTTTTTTTGCAATACAGGACTGAAATATATTTAACTGAGTTACTTGCTTGGTAGTAAGCACATATTTTTAAGCCTGGGAATAGATTGCATGCTGCTATGAGTCAGTAATTAATGGGTGCAGTATTAAGAAAATTATTTACCTGATAAGGTGTAATTTAATTCCTTTTCCTGCTGACYTACTGTAGCTTTGCATTTTGTTCACTGTGTGAGAATTAAATGATTAACTCAGTGACCTGTAGTAACCAAAGGCTGAGGTTAAAAGTGGATTAGTGAGTTAAGTAGCCACGATTCCTTCATAAAGCTGAGTCTGTCACCTCCTGCCCTGGGAAAAGAACTCCCAGCTTATATTCGCCTCTCTGTAAGCAACTGTAAAGCTTTTATTTTTTCTGCTTGAGCTGCACTTGATAAATACGTGCTGTATTAATGATCGTACAGGGGTGCTGACAGTAAGACCCCCTGAAGACCTGAGTGGAAATCGATGTGGTTGCCTCGTTCTGTCTCAGGTGAAAAGCTTGCTCATGAACAAAGAGAGCTCTACCGAAGGAGCTGCAGCAAAAGCTCTGCCGAGCCATCGGCAAGGACAGGGGTGCAAATGCGTGCTTCAGCTAGAAGCCACTTGCAGCATTTGAAGGGGCAATTATCTGTGAGCTTTAATGGGTCAGAGGCTGTAAAACATGACACTGGTAGGAATAGAGAAAGAATTGGAGCATTCTGGTTTCACCCCCCATCCCCATAGGTATGTGAGAAGCTGATTACAAACACTAATATATCTCAGCTTGGTGGCTGTCCTGGTACTTTGCCTTGCAGCAGTGACTGAAGCCACCTCTTTCACAACAACCTCTTTCTGGCAAAAATAAAACCTAAGGTTTTGCTGGGGAGAGAATGAGAAGATTTTGCTGCTCTGTGAACTTGTGAACCTGTGATCTGTCATGTTTTGAATAGTTATCACCCCTTGCTTTTGTTGCTCCCATTTTAAGTAGATAGTGTACACCTGGGAAAATGGTAGAGAAATATGATAAAGATAATCAAGGTATGTGGTGACTCCTGCACTGAGAGAGATTAAATAGCCTGTGGTTTTTTCCACTAATCTCTTGGAAAAGAGATTAGTCAGTTAAAAATGTGTAAAAGAAATTAAGAGGTGGAATCATTGATTTAGGGAGTTATACATACTTGTTTTTCTTTATTTCTTTCTACAATCACAGAAACAGTCAGGAGCAAGGGATGGAAGTTTGAAACCAGTTGGAATTTTGACATAAAATTAAATAATAATTATGTCAAATACTGGAACACATTGCTACCAGGTGCTCTTTATGCCAAAAATTAAAAAATGTTCACAGGGTATTTAAGTAAATCCATGGAAGTAAGTTTCATTAAGAGCTATGTAAAATAGAAAGGAGATAAAAACCTCTGATTAAATAATTATAGTATAAATTATAAATAATTAACTGTATATTAGGGAAGACTATGAGATCATATTGTATTATTCTTGCCTAAGTATCTGTTCTTGTTTATTTGGAGACAGGATTTACTGTTTTTCTGTCTCAGTGCTGCCACAATTATGAGTTTGCAGAGACCATTTTTTGAGTCAGTCTTTTTTTTTTCTTTTTTTTTTTGTATTTTTTTTCCCGTTCTTCTTTCTCCCTCTCCTTATGATTGTTCTTTTTAGGAGAGATTTTTCAACAAAGCTGCTTTTTTTTTCCCGTTCTTCTTTCTCCCTCTCCTTATGATTGTTCTTTTTAGGAGAGATTTTTCAACAAAGCTGCTCTTTGTCCTTTTTCACATAACGAATGAGTAACTATATGCCAGGGTGGATCTCTGTACTGAGTATATGCCTTTAAAATTAAATTATATGTGGTCAGCAGGACATAAAATGTGATCTGTACAAAATGTGTTTTAAAAGACATATATTTATCTGTGCTTTTAAATAGCTTTAAAAAGATGAAAAATGAAAACAGTCCAGAAACGCAAAGAAGCAAAACAAGCGCTCCATGGGAGGAAAATGGCCCACAGAGGTAAGGCGAGACTTGATGTCTTAGGTATTGTGCAATGGTAAATACCATGCCATACCAATAGGTTGAAGGATATTAACATAATATATTGATGTGTCATTTGATTCATAATAGATGTGTACTGCATGTAAGTAGATAGGTTCTTTCATGGATAAAGAAAAAAAAGGAAAGTACTTTGGAAGGAAGTACGTGAAAAATTTGTCTGTGAAGAGGGGCAGAGAGACCCTTAAAGTGTGAGTGACATGTAAATTCTGTTGAGTCAAAAGATGTCAAAAGAGGCACATGAGAGCAAAAAATAATAGCCCTAGATTTCTGATTAATATGAAGTCCTGTGGAATTATGATGGATAACTTATAGAAAAATCAACTGTGTAACAGTCAGAAAAACAATTAGCAATTGCTGGTAAAACAGGAAAACAATGTTATACCACGATATAAATTGGYGGATCACATATGTGCTCCATGAATTTTGGGAGCAGTTCTGATGTCCTTATCTCAGGAAAAGGAACAGGCTTTGAGACGAGCAGCGAAGGTAATCAAAGGTGTGAATGGCTCTGCAGTAAAYCTGTACAAGGAGCAAGGGCACGGGCCAGACTGGACTCTTCCTTCAGTCTGTAAAAGAGGCAATTCCAGGGGATGACATCTAGAAATCTGAGAGAAAAGAAATAGACCAAGACTGTATTTTTCCAGCAGAAGGGTTACAGATCTTCAGGTGAAGCTGTTGCAGGTAAAGGTGTTGAGAAATGCGGTGAGTCCTGACTCACCACCAGTGGGAGACCTGTGGTCCTCCTCTGTGAGGAGTGAATTGATATAGTGGGTAAATTCCTGGGGGAGGCTGGGTGAGTCATGGAACAAAAATCCTGAAGGGCTTCTGAAGGCAGAGGTGCAGCAGCTGGCTCAGTGAGTCCCCCGGGCTGGGAATGGTGTGGGACTTAGGGAGCGCTGGGGAGTCCTTGAACGTCTTCAGCTTTTCTCTTCCTGCAGTTGTCTGAAGTTGTAGTTGGTTCCTGCTGCTGGAAACATAACCAGAGATCACAAAAAGCATAATTCAGAATGCTCCTGCTTTTCTGTGRTGATTCGGATCTATACATGATGTGTCATTTGGGGCATCCTGATTTAACCCCTTCTGTAAATAGCAATAGTTTTCAGACTAAGTACAAAGCAGTGAGCAAATATTCTCTTGCCAGGACAGACCTTTCCTTGTTTATTTTTATAGGAGATGTGGTGCTATCTTGTCACTTTATGGCTTCAGTTTTGAAGTTGCCCTCAAGACAGCAGGATGTTTGATCTTGCAGGAGCCAGGWTTGAGGATTGATTGAATGGCAGGATTGAGTTTTTGCAAATCTATTCACTCCAAAGCACTCTGCAGTTTTAGACACATAAGCAGATTGGATGTTGCACAGAGTCTTTCACAGCTCCTAATAATAATTCTCATTGAGATGAGCCATGGGAACTTTTCACCTGTGCAGGGCAGCGCTGTAATCAGCTGTCTGCAGAAGCAGTTGAATCAGAATGTGTTCAATTTGAAGGCCAGAGGCTTTTAGGGAAGCAGAAAACTGGAGCTTGAAACCACCTCTGCACTATTGGCAGAGGTTTGTGTGGTTGAGCAACAGAGAGATGGAGGTAGAGATAACTTCATGCTCCTGAGCATCAGCTCTGTGGTGAAGATGCTTGTCATGAGAGAGGAAAATGGGAAGGTTTCATACTTACACCCATGGAAAACTTGAAGGATGACTCGCTCTGCGTTGGATAAGCCATACTAAAGAACAGAAATTTTATTATGTGGAAAGAATATGGATAAACTTAAGTCTGTATTTTATAAGCTTCGAGTCATTGGCATGGCAATGCTAAGAAATCTCTCCTGCATTTTCAAGGTTCAGTGTGAAATATTCATTGCTAGAAAGCAGAACCATCTGCATTTACACAGCACACACTCACACAGACACAAGCACATGTAGCCAAATACTCACCTCTGTGTGTGTGTGTGTGGGCATGAGCCTTCTCATTTTTGTAAGCTAAATCACAGTTACCTGACCTAACTGTCTTGGAAATTTCAAAGCTGACTCATTGCTCTTCCTTTTTAAACTTAGTGGGCTGTACAATTCTGCCAGTGACCGCAATAAATCACCGAAGTTTCCCTACTCACGCCGAAGGAACCCGTCTGGTGGCAGTGAGAATGAGCCTGGGCAGCCAGTTCGGAGGAGGTAAGAGCCTCGGGGTAAATTTCTGTCAGCTTCTGTAGGAACTATAGGAACTGTAGGAACTAGAGGTCCTGCATGCCTTGAGGAGGCACAGCTGGGTCCTGGGAAAAGGGGCATTCCAGGAGCCAGTTGTTAGTCAAAAACCACCTGAACAGTAATTCCACAGCTGTTTGGAAAGGGAACTTTGCTTTGCTTGTGTGCTGTTGTGGGAAAATGATGTTAAAAATTGCGTTATTGGCATGTGCAAGATTCCTTTAGGTACTGCAGCTCTTTTTCCTTGGTGAATAAAAGGATTGTTGGATTTGCTTATTTGACAGTGAGCTCCCATTGCAGTGTCAAAAGTACATTTCTATGTTTTAAGTGCCAAAAGGTTTAAACAAATGAGCCACAAATCTGTCTTCAGCATGTCCTGTACATGAACGACTTTACATTAGAGAGGATCCCAGAAAAAATACAACTACATGACACATAATGTTCTTTCAATTGGTACAAGCTGAATTGAGTGGCTTTTTTTTAGTGCAGTAAAATTGAATGGATGCAGATTCTGTGCTGCGTGTCTTTGAGCATGTCCAAAAAGCAAATTACAGGGAGAGTTCTTAAGTGACACAGTATTGAGAGACTGTGTGTTACCTGGGATGATTTGTCCTGCTGAGAAGCTGTTTTCATGGCTGGGGTATCCTGCCTGGTGCTGTGATCTGCTGTGAAGTATAAACAAACACAGACAATGCACCAAATTCACTGCAGCCTTCTAAAACCACCTTAGAAGCAAGCACATCAGAGTCACATCTCCTTCTGACAGCTCTGAAATGATTACCTGTTTGGCCTTTAAAGCCAGGGGTTGCAAAGGGGTCCCTGACAATGCAGCTGTATTGATGAGGAAATATAGTTTGATGTGGAGCTTTTATCCTTGTCAGGTTTCTGAACAGTCTCAGACCTTTTATCTGCCATTAGCTGTCTGGGACAGGAAAGAAGRAACTCACCCATGGTGTGTGCTTTGTGACCTCAAACAAATCAGTGTAACTCTCTCTTAGGCAATGGAGTTATGTTGATTTTCTCTGCTGGATAAAGCCCTCCTAGGTGTTAACAGCRATGTGCTCCCTGAATCGGTTTTGTCGTGACTTAACCCCAGGCAGCCCCTCACTCACTCCCTATCAGCAGGATTGGGGAGAGAATCAGAATGGTAAGAGGTAGAAGACTCATGAGTTGAGATGCAGACAATTTAACAGGGAAGGGAAATGCTGTGCACACAAGCAAAGCAAAATAATGAATGAGTTCCTGGCTCTACAAGGCTGGGCAGGTGCTCAGCCATCCCAGCAGAGCAGGGTCCAATCTGATGGTCACTTGGGAGGACAAATCCCATCAGTCCAAATGTCTCCCCCTTCCTTCTTCTTGCCCTCACTTTTTACACTGACCATGATGTCACATGGGCTGAAATGTCTTTTTGGTCGATTGGGGGTCACTTATCCTAGCTGTGTCCTCTCCCAGTGTCCCATGCTGCCTTAGCCTCCTGCCAGTGTTGCCTTGGCTCTGTGCAATCCCTGCGCAGCAACAACAAAAACATCTCAGAATCATCAACCTATGTTCAGTATGAAACCCAAACAAAGCCCCATAYCTTCCACTGTGAAAAACCAGCACAGGTTTTTTTGAGGCATTGCTAGCTGCTTCAGTTGTTGAGTTGTCAGAAGGACTTGGGCTTTGTAAAAACAAAAGTCTAGAGGTGTGCAGTGCAGAGCTCTCTTTTATCAAGAAAAGAAAAGCATTTGTGCACTACGCAGCAGGAAATCATTGCTGCCACCTGGGATTTGCACTGGGCTGATCTAGTCAGTGGACTCAGCCATGCCAAGTTTTCTCTTGGGATACCACACAAACAAAATGTTTTTAAAAGTCTTATCTCATATGAGAGACTGTGAAGACTGACAATAGCAGGTAGATTATAACTTAATTATGCCTTCCTGAATCTTGGTTTTATTCATGCACTTTCCTTTTCCAACTGTTAACAACAATAGCTGTGTTGTTTGTGCACCCTTTACTGGAGCTAAGAGGAAACCACCGAACTCTGCTATGCTGGGAATATTAGGAAACTCTAAAGGCATAATTAGTATGCTAAGCTTAATTAGTATGCTAAGCTTAGTATGCTAAGCTTAATTTTGCAGGTCAGAGGTTTGCAATGAGAGCTTGAATGGGATCATGCCTTCACAACTTATTGTAAAGATGTACTGAAGAGTGTAAAACAAGCACATGCCCTGTTTTCTCTATCTGACATCATGTTGAAAAAAAGCYGCAAAATATTTTGTAAAGTTTTAGGGTTTTTTTAGCATGGGTAGTTTTGTGTATTCCTATTGAGTGACTCCATGATATTTCATTAAAACTTCTTTAATGTCACAGGAAAAATCAAAACAGTGGTGAAGATTCAGATTTAAAGCAAAGGAGAAGGTAAATATATGGCCTATAGCARCTGTGCAATGAAACTGAAGGTACTGGTCATTATTGGCTCACTGCATCTCCTCCTTCATTCCATCCCCTATTCCTTGTCCCTCATATTCTGAAATGTATTAAAGATTTGTTGTGTTACACCCATTTAATTTTTTATTTCTTATCTTTTTGCTAAAATGCTCTGTGGCAGGGCCTCAGAGTCAGCACAGTCTTGCAGCACATTGTTACTACCCCACATTAGAAGCAGTTTGCAACAGTTTCCTGAGGGCTTGTCTGCAACTTCAAAGTCAGTTCCAGAAGTTTTAGCTTTTGGATTTTGCATCTCTAGATTTGTTTTTACTTCTCCAGCCTCTGTACCCACTTTAATTAATCTATTTTGCAAGAAAATGTGCTGTCATTTGGGGTGAATTGTCCTGCAAGTGGTAAGTTCAAAAGCACATGTAACTCCTCATAGTCTTCTCTCTGTCTTGTAAATTTTTTGTTATTTTTTTCATAAGATTCTCCTGCTGTCCCCATCTCCCATTTCAGACTTGACTTACTGTCACATTTCAATTAAAATTCAGGTGTGAATTTGGGTGTGCTGTCTGACAATTTTAGCTTCTGATAGATTTTTGCAGCATCTGCCTGTCACGACTCTGCTCTGTGTTCCTCCTYGCTCCTCTGCTCCTTCCTGCATTGCTGGAATGAGGGGACAGTGTGGTGTATTTCCGTGTCAGAGGCTCCTGCAGCTTGGGAAGGACAGGGGGCACTCCCAGGATCTGAATCACTGCTGCAGCATGGGAAAGGAGCTCTGGCAGAGACACAAACATCTTGGGGACAATCACAGGAAGCCAGAGAAAGTGCTCACATACTTTGTGCTTATTATGAGATTACAGAATATATTTTGGAAGGATGTTAGTATGACAAGCTGCCAGTGGTAGTCCTGTGATAGATGTCCAGYGCAGAAAACTGAGAAGATTCAGTTGAGCATGTCAGGTGGGAAGCCCCAGTGCCCATAAGGGACCTCTTCCCAAAGACTGTGCATGGGTTTGTTATTTTATATTACAAAAGACAAAAGACAAAAGACATTCCTCACTTCCTCACAATTTGGCTACTGTCCTCTCCTTTTAATCAGAAAAAGCTTGTGCCAGAATGGAGCCTTCCCCAGCTCTCCAATCCATCTCCCAGACARTGTTTGTTGTGTCTCCTATCAAACTGACTATGACTTCTTTCCTGCTCCCTTTATGCCAGACCATAGAGGTATTCTACCTGCAAAATATCAAATATTTTGCATGATGAGGAATACAGGGGAATAAAGGACAAAAAGTACCTTAAAATTGCCAGAGATCAGGATGATGTCATGTGTTCTTTCTCCCGATTTAGGAAACCATCTTATTTTTTTTTCCCCCATTTTTGATATTTTACTTAGTTCAGTAAAAGCTGATATTTAATAGTTAGTGGAAGATGATATTTAGCATTCAGTGAAAGATAATATTCTGACAACAATCATGAGCAGCTGCCACTCAGGTGACAGCTCATTAGCCCTTCTGTGCCCCCCCAAGTACTTTCCTGACAGGGAGCACCAAGTAATTTGATGTGCAGTATCCAAGAGGTTGATCAGATTTCCATTTCTGAGAAGTTAAGAGAGAAGTTTATCTTGAGTTGTTTGATCAAATAGGACATTTTATCTTGTACTTTGCCTGCCACACTGTGATTTTTGGCTGTTTTGGTACCTTTATGGGATAAATTACTTAACTTGTAGTAAGAAAATGCTTGTCAAACTGAAAAATATAGAAGAAAAGAGTCATGCTAATGAGCTGGAAGTGTGAAAGAGCAGTGTTGGTCAAATGACTTATTATTGTTGTTATTAATGCAAYGTTTATTGAATCTGATAAGATTGGGATGGGGAAAGGTTTACTTTTGGGTGTGCAAACTCTGATGCAGATCCAGAGCATTTATTGCTCTTAACGCTTCTGCTGTGCTTGAGTGACTCTTTTTGACACCATCTTTTAATCTCCCTTCTTCTTTTTTTATTTGGGGTTACAATTTCCATAGTAACACACATACCTTTTATCCCCACTTTAAGCTTGACCCAGACAGGTGTATTTTTAACTGGAACCTGGGTATTTTATATTATGAGCATGAAATTTGAGTATGGGAAGAAGCTATTTCTCTGGGGAAATTTCACTTTCCCAAATTTATTCCCTTCAGGCAAGCTGGATTAAACTGATTTTCCTAGACTTTAGCTGTCCTATTATTCTAAGACATTTCTCTCTACTGAAAGGGAGGTGGTTCAGCCTCCTTTTTCCATAAAGAGCAGCAGAATCCTGGTGTTACTGGTATTTCTTCCATACTGCCTAACATTTGAAAGTATGAACTTGCAGGATGGAAGTTGAGGTGAATAGAAAAAGATTGATTTGTTAACATTTTTATTTTTTGCCTGCAAACTCAGAACTGATGTGTCAATTCTGTTGGGTGCACCACAGTGTGCAAGAAGAAAAGAGCCAGGATGCATRCAGATTAAGAGATAAAACATTTCACACCTCCAAGAAACACCTTGATGTGGCRTGTACCTAGAGAATGCTGACAGATAAAATGAATTTTAAAACAAAAAAGGAAGCAATGAAATTATTAGAAATGAAAATAGCACTCACCTGATAATACTTGTGAAGCAGTTCTTCCCAATCAATTAATGAGAAAAAAAGAACATGACCTGCAGGTGTAAACAAGCCCTCCACAGTCTTTTAATTCTGATTTTCCAAGTGATGCCTTTGCAGTGTTGTTTTTCCTTGTTTAGCACTGCAATAATTTTGGTGTCATCAGATAAATTCACCTTAATGTGTTGCTTTCCTCTTGCCCAGGTCACGGTCCCGCTGTAACACCAGCAGTGGCAGCGAATCCGAAAACTCCAACAGAGAACATCGGAAGAAGAGAAACAGGTAATAATATATTAACTATTTTAGACATGGAGACTTGAAATTCAGGCAAATGGAGATGGACTTCTCTCAGATAAACCTAGTAAGAAGGGGTGCTTTTTGTGTAGAGTCCTCCTAAGACCCTTTTTCTGAATAAGAAGAGCAGTAATTGTCAGAATACGTAATTATAGTTGCATGCMATGAAGGCCTGCCCTCCTGTTGCTTGGGAAGAGCACAGTAATGACCACAAGATCAAATAGGGGGCACAATTACAAAAGAAATTGCAATATAAATGCAAATAAAATTGATAATATGTTGATAACAATATTTTCATCATATACTTCAATACCTCACAAATTCAAGTTCAAATATTTTTCAGAAGAAAACAAGCTTTTCAGAAGTAAAAAATATTTCTAGTGGATTTCAATCTCAATGTTGATTTTAAATTCCTGCATTAAATTGTGTAACTTTTCTATTTTTCCAAAATGTCAAGTGTGAGCCCAAACCAAAAATGTCTACAGTATCAAATTTTAATAGGACAACAATAGTTCATATCAAATGATGCTAACAAATCCTGTATTATGGATTCTATTTTTCTTATTGCTGGTATGAAAAAGCGTAATTACTGGTTTCCTTTTRAAGCTGTATATTTTATGTTGCACTGGAGATAACAGCATCCAAGGGGTATTTATGAAAATATATTTTTTAAAAGCTTGTAGAGTTTCCTCATATTGTGTAAACATGGTGCAAGAGAAACATCACTGGACAAAAGAGAAATTGTTTTAAGGCACATTTTCTAAATTGCTGCCTACATGGGCTGCCATCATTTCTTCATGTCTTACATGCAGGTCTCTGAGTTGTAAATGATTTTTAGATCTCTGGAAGCTCTTGGAAATAATTGAATGCTAGATAGTGCTGCAAGAGCATGCRGTATAATCATATTTTAAGCATGACTTGCAGCAGTTAAAGAAATGTTAAAAAATGATGGTGAAACATGGAATGGTACAAAACATACTTGAGACATAAGATTTCTTTGAAGCATACCTAAATTAGAGCAGAGTCTCATAAGGTACTTGGCTAACAATATCCTAGTGTGCATGGCAGGTTTGTTTTCCAGAATTATAATTATATGCTGAATATAGTTTCAGTGATCAGCAGTAAATGGTATTTTGTATCCCTTTCTCCTAGAGCACTCTTGCCAGGTTATTTTTTCCTCCTGTGAAACTCCTTGTGCAGGGAGCTCCACAAGCAAGTGAAAGAAATTAGAGACTGCCCACAAGAATGTTTTTAAGAACTCATTGCAATATAAAGACTGAATTGTAAGAAGGATTAAGTACTGCTTATCATTTTCTTTTTGAGAATAAAAGGGCCTTTGCCAACTCTTCTTCATTTCATGGACAAAAATATTAAAAAAGAAGAAAAAAATTTTTTTGGGGGATTGTTTCTAAGTTTTTTTACATTTTCAGAAATGCAAGATGGAACAAAATTGTTAATGTTTCAGCATTTTCTTAGTTGATCACTTGAAACCAGAAGTGATAAAAAGTCATTATCAGTGTTAGATTAAACAAGTACTAAATAAGCTGGAAGTCTAAAACTTGCTCCCTGGGAGCAGGTGCAGAAAACAACCAGTTATAATGAATTTCTGCATTTCACTTAGCAGCCACAGCAGGAACATAAAAAGCTGAAAGGTCAGAGGCACTGAGCAGCTTTCCTGTTATCAGAGGGGAGCCAGCCCTAGCAGGGTGAAATAGGACATTATAATGAGGCTTGCAACTGCTGTTACTCAAGTTTTACTGGTTGCATAAACTAATACAATTTATTTCCCAGTAAAATAATCAGGTCCCTGATACAGAAACAAAATTGTTTTATTTTTTTTGGAATAAAATGAGTGAATACTCATATTAATCAAATAAATCTGCTTCTGATCAGAGTAGAGTATAATATATTGTACACATGACAAGAGATCCCTGTGAACTATTTGTCAGAAGAAAACAAATTATTGAGAAAACCAGAARTGTGTATGAGAGCTTCTGAAAATACAACACTAAAAAATTGCTTGGGAAAATATTTTTACCTGTTCTCAATTTTAGAGGTTTCACTCCATCGTAATAATGTTTTCTCCTAAGCAGGTGCTCATATGAAAGTGAAGAAGAGCCTATGATAAGCATATTTYAACCATGGAAGAAATGTATTTGCTTTTTTAATCCTGTGGTCAAAATTTATTGTGCAGATGAAAATGTATTAAAGGAGCAGACATTGTGTGCTGAGGCATAGTTTCCTTCCTGACTGCACTTAGAGGATCCACCTGATTTGAACCACATGGTGACTGAAGGTTAAGGCTGGCAGGGACTCTGGTTGTCATCTGGTCCAACACTGGTCCAGCAGGGCCACCAAGAGCCAGGTGTCCAGGACCAGTCTCATGCAGCTTTTCAGTACCTCCAAGGAGGGAGATGCTACCACCTCTCTGGGCAACCTGTGCTAGTGCTCAGAGAAAAGAATGAAAGGAAAACTGTGATGGGCTTTCAGTGCAAGGCCAATAGCTTTTATTCAAAAGTATCTTTAAATAGAAATTTAGAGTTCGAGTTAAATGTCTTTCAGATTTTTTTCTGTCATTTCTGTTGGCAAAAAGTTAAAAAAATTGCCCCAAAATTATTAGAATTTGAACATTGCAACCAAGATAYCTTGGTCATCTTTCACCTTGTTAAAAGTGAACATAACACCTTTCTTTGCAGCTTCAAAATKGATGTTTTATTTCTTCATGTCTCCATCCAGTAGAGTTCTGCTGTGGTGCACCACTGCTTTGGATGTGCTGACACTGCTTTTTTTAATAGCCAAAATGCTACTTCATATATTTAGATTTTCAGTAATTTTGTGCAAGTGACTGCCRTGTGTGAGAGGCAGTTGGTTATGTCTATACCATATGGGATGATTGCTGTTTGCACAAATTGGATTATTTGGGATGAAAATCACAACTCATTACTTGTTGCTGTGTGAGTTCTTCCACTAAATCCTTAGATAGYTTATGTTAATACCTGTCACCAGATTACAGATTTAAAAAGATTTACTTCGAAATCAAAACCCGAGGTTGCAGTCTTCTCCAGATGCTTCGTCCCATTTGGTAGAGTTGTGGCTGTTTACAGTAATTGGGGATCCAGCTCAAAATTCATTATGCATGTGAGAGAAGATCTGATTAGAGGAAAAGCAGGAGCCTGTGTAGCTGGTTTAGCCTGATACAATTCAAAACAATTCAAAACTCAAAGAGAAAAGTATATCTGAAGTGAGGAGCAACAACAACAACAAGCTTTGCATTGCCTACACCKCCAGTGTAATCCCTTTATCTCTGTTGGCCTCTTTGCTCGTTTTACCTGTCAGTCTTCCTCTCTGGTTTCTCCAGCATGCCTGCCACATCATCCTGTCAGACAATCCACACTCAGGTGGCATTTTCCAGGGGTGTTTTGAAATCCCTGCTAGATTTTGAATTCACTGCTGTGACCGAGCACATGCATTTGCTCCACCACCTGAGCACTTCATCCCTGCAGTCTGTGTGCAGCCTCAGAACTGTGGGAAGCACTTGTGGAACTCTGATCAAACCCTGCCTGGCTGCCTGGATGGTTGTGGCATTGTGGAATTACTTCAGCCTCCCAGCAAAATTGCTGAGTTCATAGGATTTTGACATTTGGCTCCATCTGCATTCCAAAAATGAATTAATGGATTTCAARGAAATCGAATTTTTAAAAAGAGAAGAAATAAAAAGCAAAGCATGTTGTTTAGATGCACACAAGCCATGACAGGGCTGAAAGCCTTAGGGGATGGTGCAGAAGGAGTGCCATGGAGATCTGCATGCATCTTGAGTTGTGCTACGGGTTAGGATGAAGGGACCACTTCTTCTGAGTGGAGACTCAGCAAGGAGACTTTTCCCTGGATCCTAGGAAGGTGCATGCTGCAGCAAAGTACTTGGCAAAGGTGTAGGAGTAGAACCAAAGCTGTAGGAGTGTCATGATGTGGGTCTCGCTGCAGATGAGGTACACTGGCATATGTAARCAGAGAGAAAATTCCAGATGTTTGGCTTGGGCTGGGAAGAGGAATTCAAGTTGTAGGTCTGTCCWTTAAGGCAAGGGTCACTTCATTTTTGGCTCATACTCTTTCTAAATAACAAATCAGCAAGTTTTCTCTTATATATTTCTTTCTTTAAGAGGCCTTAGTTAAAATTAAGCAAGATGAAAGGTTAAGTACGGCATTGCAGGAGCTGSATTTTTTTTGGAGAAAAAGAAATACCCCATTGCTTTTCAGAGCATCCTGCATGAGAGCCCTCAGACTGAACTCCTGGTGTTTCTTTTGCAGATTACGGCAAGAGAATGATATGGTTGACTCGGCTCCTCAGTGGGAAGCTGTGCTGCGGCGGCAGAAGGGAAAAACCCAGGCAGATCCAAACTACCGGCGATCCAGGCACAGATCTCGATCGTATGTAACCCTTGCACCCTTTGATTTGTGAGTTAAGGCTTCTGCAYCTCGTTCAAAAGCAGGAGGAATGTGTCCAGTGTGGTGGTGGCTCTCAGCTTCTGAGGAGCAGAGCTTTCCACACTGTACGCTCCCAGAGTCGCAGATTTGTCTTTGTGGTTAAACTGCCTTTGTTCAGTTTGGATTTCAGGGCACAATAAAGCAAAGAGGCTTTGTAGCTGTTGAGGAGCTCTCTCCATCACCTGAGAGGAAGTCCTGGATGGTTCTGTGGCCCACTGAACATCAGCTCTGTAATGAGGCTGCAATTCCACTCTTCTGGGCAGCCAGTCTGCTCAAGCRTTCAGATTTTTTTGTGACAACTGCAAACATTTTTATGAAATACATGCACACTTGTTTAGTCATATCATATTTGCAGTGGTGTCCCAGATAAGAGCAGGTGCTGATGTATCCATGTCAAATTATCCCTGACAAGCAGCAGTCMGTGATATATTGCATCCTGATGTCAGGATTTTCATGATGGAGCTATAGTGCCAGGCACTGCTGCTCCTGCTGACAGCCTGTTCTGAAACGGTGACCAGCTTTTGAAATTAATGTTCTCAAGATAATGAAAATGTTGGTTTCCTTTAATTTACATTTTTCTTCTAATGGCCTGGTTTTGGGGCATAGACACACTGTTTGTTATAATGTTTGGTGTCATCAAAACCACAGTCAGCATAGACATTTCCAGCATTTAAATCCACTTGAGTTGTGTTTTCAGTCACCTGTATTGCTAGAACTCATTGCTGTCTCCAGTTTCATAGAGCAGAGTTTTAATTATGAGGAATAGAATCTGACTTTTAAGGTCCAAATATTGGAATTTCTGCTTTGTCAGGCTTTGTACAGACTTGTTCACTTTCAGCTGCACAAAAACCATGTGTTAACTGTACAACAATATATCACTAAAAATCAGGATTATTAAAGGTTCACATGTAGAGAACCCAGAAAATACAGCTGAGTAAATTTGTTTTCCATTTGGTTTATTATATAAAGAAAGTGCTGTAAACTAGGAAATGTACTCCGTGGGTAATGGTTACATTGAATTTGTAGCCAASTTTCTCTTTTTTACCCACAAACTGTCATTGTTTGGACAGCACGGGTTCCCTCTTGTGGTTAACTTAACTTATGAAATGGTTTATATTTTGCAGCACAGGGTCATTCTGAGTTATATTTAATTTAAACTACTGTTAGTGAAAAAAGGTGAATGAGAAGCTCTCACTGAACAAGCAAAGGTCCTAGAGGAAGCATAGAAATGAGGAAATCCTGAAGATTTTGGAAGGCTTCTCATTTCTTTTTGCTATTGTTTTATTGTTTCATGTTTCTCCTTTTTATCACACTCTCCAGTCAAAAGAACTAAAACAAACAAATCCCCAATGAAAGAAACCCAAACCTCCTAAGAATGCAGAGATCATTCACATAAGCAAGTAGGAACCAGAAAGAGTAAAATGGGAACTTTTTTCAAAGGATTTTGAAAAAACATTTAGTAAAAGGCATTTAAATTTAACTGTTAATCTGTAGTAGATTGTAAGAGAATTTATTTAATTTAGTTTGGCTTAGCTGCATAATGGATAATGGTCAGAAGAAAAGAAAACACAATTCAATAGGATGGGTGTAGTTGTTTTGGTTTTAAATGGTGTCATACGGTAATTTCAACTTGCACATTTAAAGATTGATACAAAACATTAGTTTTAGTTGAACAGGCAATTCTTTCACAATAAATCTATTATTGCACTCGTCATAACTAGAACTTCTCTTTGTGAAGCAGTGGCTGAAATTCTTGTTACTGTGCCTGGCATGGTGCCTTTAATTTATTTGATAATGAGTAATATTAATCATTCATAGTGGCAAGTTAGTGTCTCCTTGGTCTTGGGAATAAAAGTATTTGACAGGAATTTGACCTTTCTTTCTCCTCAAGGAATCAGCAAATAGAGAGAGCTCCCAATTCTAGTTCCACAGGGTTTATTTTCAAGAGTTCATGTAAAACATCTGTGTTGCCAAAGGGCTTTTTCTAATTAAAAAGAATGGCCATAAAACTCCATGGCTATTTAAATTTACCATTTGTGACTCAGACTGAAATATTAATAAGGGTGCAGATGCAGGCACAAAAAATAATGTATACTTTATTAACGTGTAGAGCTGTTACAGCCTTTCCAAACAAAATAAAAAATAAACAAAAAAACCCCATGAGATTCATCACTTACTGGGAATTCCCATCAGGTTTCTTGTGCATTAGAAAAACTGATTAGCATGCAAACCATCCAGAAGGTATTGATTCAGATACTGAGATAGGACAATCTGAGTCCTGTATATCAAAACTGTGAGTTCTAAAACAATTCACAGTGTTTTCATTCACATGAAAACAAAGTGAAAGGGGGATTGTGATCTGGCTTTAAAGATTTAACAGAAGAATTGCTTTGTTGTGGGCTCTTAAGCACCATATGAACATGAATTTCCTATGCAGTACATGCAATACCTACATTTTATCTTATATTTCACCTTTCTTTTTGTAAGCTTTCCATCCTTTTGCTTTCAAAGGAAGCAGAAACAGGCCTTTGGAAACAAAATACTTTAATTAAGTTGCTTTATCTGTATCATATTTCTTTATATTCTTTGGTGAGCAGCTAACCTGAATAAATGTTGTAAGGTTATCCCGGTATGGTAACACTTCTTAAACAGATGGAAAATAACTAATTGCATGATGTGAAGTCTAAAAAAAGCTTGCTGTGAGGAATAAGTCTATTTAGCCTTTTTTCTTTTTTTTTTTTCTCCATAGGATGCCATATTTCTAAACTGATATTGTACAGCAAAGTCTTTTTTATTAATTTTTAACTGCAGGGATGGAAAGAGRCAAAATGGCAGAGATCACAGGACAAAGTGCCTGGAGCTGGTCACAGAAAGCAGAAGGCACAGTTCCTAGAAAGTGGAGAAATGAAAATGTCATCTTATTTAACCACTCTCTTTCCATGTTGCCCCAAAAATTAATATTTCTTACTGTAGGTAAAGCTTCACATGATGCTTCATGATACTTGAGCCTCAAGGCCAGGTCCTGAACTGCTGTATTTCCCTGAATAAGTAAAAGCCAGAGCTGATCAAATGGGTCAATGATGTGCACAATTCCCTGCTTTGTGCAAGTCCTGGGCTTGGGAGAGACCTTGGGGCTTTCCTTCCTCAGGGCAAACTGGAGCTTGTAAGCATTACAAAGCCTCCCTGGAGAAGCTGACATTTTTCAGGGAGCTTTCACATCCCCCACTGTCTGATTATTCAGCCTCTGAGGAAGATGTCTATCTTCCCAGCCCCAGGGTGAGTGCAGGATTTGCAGCTGCTATTTGSTGAGCTTAAGGCTTCATGGGAGCACAAATCAGTTCAAAACTGAGGGATGAAAAAGGCTGATAAATGCCCCTGCATATACTGCATCAGGGAGTTAAAAAGCAGCATGGACAGATGCAACAAGAAGAAGTAAATRCAAGAAGGGAGATGGAGAGAGAAGTAAAAATCAGAGAAAACTAAATGTGTTATAGTAAGCAGAAACACAGTAAGCCTTAAAAAGCTTTAAGCATGGAGAACTGGAACTCTAAGGCTCTCATGACTGTAGGTGTTGACATCATGAGAACCTGAGGATTTGGAATGAGGACTTTGCCAAGGATGGGAATCATCCTGACTGGAAAGCCTTGGAGCTGGAGGAGATTATGGATTAGTTCATTTTAGTCCTTCAGTTCATTTATTTCTTCCTAGATAAATACAAATGCTAGGTTGCTTTTCTCCCTTAGTTCTTTCTCTGGTGTTTATAAACCAGTACTAGTATCTGCTAGTACTTCTGCTACTGTAAAATCTGAAAAAACCCCAAAACATTACCATCCTAAAATACTCTGCCTTTCATCAGCTGTATAATGTTTACTCACAAAACAGATGTCTCTGAACATTATTCCTAGGCTGAAGTCTGGAAATAAGCCCAGCATAGTAATGGTGAAATAAAAAAGCAGTCAAACTGTTAGTGCTAGAGAGCAGTTTGGAATTATTTCTGATACATCTCTGTCCCTGGGCAAGGAGACCCCATTTAGATGTGCAAAAATGCAATCTCTGCTGTTCTCCTTGATCTCCATCTAAATTTGGATTATATTCCTCCTAAATTATCTTTGAATATGATATGCTTTTTGTTGAAGGGAAAAAAAAAGGTCAGGCTGTATGACCTGATGATGTAAGACTCAATATTTGAGAAACTGTGGGAGCATTTATGCATGCTGAATGTGTCTAAAGGCTGTGTCCCTCACATCTTAGATGGTGTGGAACAGTCTAGCTGACGACAGTGAAAAGATCTCTCCATGCAGATGTAGTCCCTGCCACTGTGTAAAATCTTTACTTCATATAGCTCTGAATGGGGTTGGGTGAATTCTAGGCGCAGTTTTAACAGTAGTGGTGGCTCTACACTAAGCTTGCAATAGAAAAGGAACAGAAAAGTTAAAAAAAATGGGTTGTAGTTAGAAATATATATTCTGTAATTCAGTGGAAAATGTGAGCCTTGCCACTCAGGCTTGCTTTGCTACGTCTCTATGTCTTCAACAGGGAAATTACCATTTTTGGCAAGTGCTTTGCATGTGAATTACATACTTGCTAGCATATTGAGGAGCATAAGCAGGCAGAGTTGCTGATTTGATTAATTTGTTGGTGTTTTTTTTTTCTACTGGATGTCAAAAATAAATAAATTGAGCAAAAACCTTTCTCGAAGATGACTAGAAAGAGAGAGCCTGTGCCATGATTGCAGTAGAGCCACAAGGAAGATTCACTGGGAATGGTCAGGCGTCACTGGTGTGTTAGCCTGGTGTGGCCAATCCCTGCCCACGAAGGGCTCTGTGGGCCACAGGACACTTCTGAGGGCCTTTCTCAGAGGTGTTATTCCAAAACATGTTGTCCTTGGAGGGGTATGTGGCGACAGAAACTGGGTGCTGATTTGGTGTGGGGAATTCTGCTGCTGTTTATATTTTGTGTGCCCTCTTGCTGAAGGCTCATGGAACGGGAAGTGTGATTGAGAGCCTGTCATTCAAGAAATGACTTCTCAGTTGAAATGAAGCTATGAAGTTTAATGCATTTTCTTAGAAAACAAACCTTAAAATTGAAGTCACTAGTGTATTACATTTATTATGATTTCTGTGCAGAGTCTGTGCTGCTAAAAGTTACTTGAAAAGCAACATGTCAGTTGATGGTTTTCACAGCTCAGTCTTTGTTGGTATTTATAGGAGGAGCCCAGATGTACAAGCAAAAGAAGAACTATGGAAACATATTCAGTAAGTACGGTCCTTGTAGGGTCTGAGAGATGCTTGGCTTGCCTTCAGTGAAGTTATTCAAATCCCCTCCACTGTGGTATCACATGGACTTAGTCACAGCAAATTATGTGTGTGATAGTGACCTGCTGTGTGTMGAAGATCCTGCAGGTCACAGAGTGCGCTGCAGAAACATGACCACTGTCTGTAAATGAGTTATTAAAGAGCCATACATAATTTTAGAGATTTACTCCTTTGTGGCTTCTGCAATGCCTTTGTTTGTAATATAACACTGTTAGGATCACACCCCACTGCCCGTATGTAAGACATTTTGCAATTCCAAAGGAAATTCACTGTTTAGCACATATAATGTTTGTTATATTGGGAAGCAACAAGATCAGATTTGCAGGGAGGTGAGAGGAAGGTAGAACAGGATGGGACATGCAGTTGAAGCAATCAAGGTGAACAAAAGAGGTTTCCTATTTTGATGTCAATATAGCTTCAGGGCTGACAACAGCTAGTTTTAGTAAATCTTTTCAGCCTGATATAAAAAAAAAAAAAGGAACATTTTTGCACTTCACACTTACTGTTATATTTTTTACTTTTCCTAATCCTTTATAGGAAGGAACTTGTGGATCCATCTGGCCTATCTGAGGAGCAGTTGAAAGAAATTCCGTACACTAAAGTAGAGTGAGTTTATGTCAGAATTTTTCTTTGTGTATATAAATCCCCACTTTTCTTACTTTACTGTGAGCTCTGTCCTACTGAAACAGGAATGGGTTTACACATAATCTCTAAATTCTTGTCTATTTCAAATACTCATCTAGGATGGGTCATGTGAGGATACTTAATAATATTAAAATCTAATATTTTTCCTTTTCAAAATATGCAAAATAAAAATTCATCTTCATCTCTCCCTATCTCCTCCACACACTTGTGAACCTGTCTATATGTTCTGCATGTCTCCCTATAGCAGCCATGAATCTTTTTTATAATATAAACTACCAGAACCAGGGAGAAGTGAATGCAAACCAGAAAATCCATTTTTTCTTAGCCTTTTGCTTTAAGTATTCTGATCATCCAAGGAATTCTTTGACCTTTGCAATCCCTTCCTTGGCTTGTCATGGGCAGCTGCCAGGGCACAGGTTTTTCTTTAAGACCCAACATCTATTTCACTGTGATAATTGCCCATTTGGGATTCCACATGTCAGTGCAAGCAGCAGAATGTGGCACAAATGGGATCCTGGGTTGCATTATAATGTGCTTCCACAACACCACTAGGCAGACAAGGCTGATACTAAGGATGTGTAAATTAAGGCATTCTTTATTAAAGTTTCATTCTCAAACGTGGGCATGCCAGTTTGTGACCTTTGCTCTCTTAAAGCATTGAATTCCAAATACAGGCTGTTAAAAATAAAAGCATCAGCCCTTTAAACTCAGCAAGTGCAAGAAGCCATCTGTCATAATTTAGTTAGAAAATGGACCTCTCAGTCTGCATTTGAAATTATGTTTTTTGCCAAAGATGTGGTTTACCAGCCCAGTGTTGGGAATTCTGTGTCTCCCTTAGGACTCAAGGCGACCCCATCCGCATCCGGCACTCACATTCCCCTCGCAGCTACCGGCAATACCGGCGCTCCCAGTGCTCCGATGGCGAGAGATCTGTCCTGTCTGAAGTGAAGTATGTGAACCTGGGTATTAGCACTGGACTAGCCTTGTGGAGCTCAAAAGCTGTTTCAAGATCATGGTGATGAGAAGCAGCATAAACGTGGCTCGTTGGTGGCACAGAGTTCAGGCAAACTCCTAAATAGAGTATCTTCAGAGCTAAAAATGAGTGAAACAACTCCAAAACCAATTATGGTCTGTTCTGGGCCATGGTGACCTTCTTGATCCAGTCGGAAGRAGGGAAAACTGAAAAGGCTAAAACAAACCTGTACTGCTCTTTAGTGGTAGGTCATGAAGTTGCCTAGGGGATGAGAATTCAGGAGTTGCTTTCCAGACACCTTCATCCTTGACAGAATTAAAATGTGGTCTCTATTAACTCTGCAATTTGTTTCATGGAAATTCTAGTACAACCCTCTTCATCAGTGGGTGGATTAATGTTTCCTAGAAGCCTGAAGAGTACTTATAAATGGAAAAGTGACAGCCCATTCTCAATTGCAGCAAGGCCTTAAAAATGTGAAAAGCAGCTCCCACCTGGAAGGTTAGTTTTAGCTGGATAGCACCCTGAAGGAGGTGTGGCACAACCATGATTTCAGGTGACGCTTGTCTTTGCTGTGAGGGTGGTGAGGCCCTGGCACAGGCTGCCCAGTGGCTGCCCTATCCCTGGAAGTGTTCAAGGCTGGTTGGATGGACTGGGATAGTGGAAGTTGTCCTTGCCAGTGGCAGGAGGCAGAAATTGGATGATCTTTAAGGTCCCTTCCCAACCAAAYTAATCTGTGATTCAATGATATTGACTCAATTTTGGCTGCTTCTGAAGAYGAGGAGAAGACAGGGATAGTATGGGCTATGCCCTGAAGGTGCCCACTGAGGATCAGCRTGACAGCTTTCAGATGTCTAGAGTCAGATGATAAAAGCCTTTCAGATCTATAGAGATGTCTGTGTCAGTTTCATTATTCTTCCTCTGCACAGTGATAGTTTACTTCATTAAAGCAATATGAATTTTGTGATATTGTAATTCCAGTGTCAAAACTGATCTGGTCCCTCCACTGCCTGTCACACGATCTTCAGATGGTAAAGGTCTCTGTGTCCAGTTGACTCAACAGGTAAGTGATTGTACATCCTTTGCAATTTTCCTTTTTGCTGGAGGGAGAAATGGAGCGCAGTGCTTTATTTAAGATGATCTTTGTTTTCCAGTGAAACGTAAAGATGAGATTTTTTTTCAGCATCAGTGTGAATTTTTGTATTTTACTTATATTTTGTATTTCAAAATACATACAGTTCTGTAACACATGCCCTTATGAACACTTCCTGCTTCTGTTGCTAGAGAACTCTTTCCCAGTTTGATGCATCCTTGAGATGCATCCCTGCTCCTCACAGAAGGAAAACTGACTTTCACAACTTCTTAAAATATGCAGGTGTGCTTGTGACACCATAGTCATCACATCAATTATTCACCTCCCAAATACTTCATATTTTTTTTCCAGATACTTCATATTTTTTAGGCTATTGGCATCTAAAAAGGACAGAACTTCTCTTTTCTTAATCTGACTTAGTGACTGTCTTTCATTTTATATTATACTACCATAGCTCTCAATTTTGATAGTTTTATTGAACTTAAATTGTGAGAATCAGGTTCTATTCAAAAGCATACAAAAGGAGAAGCAAAACATGGGAGTGAGAATTCCAGATACTTACCTTGCCATACAATTATTGTTAAAATGTTCAGTGTCTACAAACACCTTCTTTTCCCTCTGCCCCAGGCTCCCTCCTAACAGTGGCCATTAATTCCTTGTGAGTGGTTGCTTGCAGTATTTTCCTAATCAAATAATTAATTGTGGCATTTCCTGAATAAGCAATAGCACAAAGGGGCAGCAGCTGGCAGGAGGCAAGAATGGAAAACAAGTTCAAATAAATGTATACACTTTAATATTCCTGGTGTAGTGTATATATGTRTATGTAAGTTGCTATGCCCATGGCTGAAGGCTTTCATAGCAACAATTAGCAAAATACTGTTTAAATTCTGCTGTATCTTTTCATTAATATGTTTAATTTGCTCTCTTCAGAGACAGAATGGATCTAAAGACAGCCTAACAGGAGAAACATCTTTGCTATCCACTAACAATGGAAAACCCACCACTAAGGTCATAAAAACTGTACAGGTGTCACGCTTCAGGGTGGAGACTTGACTGATAATTGAAGATGGTGAATGGATTTTGGTCTTTGGAAAGTGAGAATTTGTTTATGTTGTAAGAGAAGGAACTGAAGCTGACATGGTAGTCATTTCTTCATGACACCAGGAAGTGCAGCCTGCTTGCTGGAAAGACCAAGCAATGCTTTTTTCACCCTTCTAGTGGTGTGACTGACTGGGGACAAGCTGCCTGATAGACAACCAAAAAGAAAAGTCTTGGCAAAACTGAAAGATCAGCAGCTACATTTCCAAAAAATGAACAACAACAAGAAAAAAAAAATTGCTGCAACAAAACAGGCTTCGTGGTCTGCTCTGTAACTGAATAGCCTTGTTCCAAAAAGTGACTGTTAACTGACATGATCAGGATCAGATGCTTCAAGAAAGTAAAACAGTCATATTTTTGGTCAATTGTGCAATACAGTGTGATATGGGGAAATAATCTTCACAATTTTATATGGGGATCAACTTATGTCCTGAGATACAAGGGCAGATAGCTCTTACAAGGTTTGTTTTAGCCTAGCACAGTAACAGATGCTCATGTTGTTAACACAAATTTTGACTCAACTCATTTCAGCTCAAGAACAATAGACTCTGTAACACGCTGCAGCAGTGTGTTCCAGGGGTGATACAGTCTTGCTTTCCTTTGGGCAGGCTTTAAGTGTTCTAAATGTTGAATGTCCTTTTGTGTAGAGGGACTACTTAAACGAACATTCCATACCATAGAAATAAATTTTCCAATTTATAGTAAAGCATACTGGAAACTGGGGAATATAAACTGACCCACCATATTAAGACTGCTTAGCAAGGCATTTCAGTGCTGGTTAAATTAAACTTGTGGAGTAGTATTTAAGACAGCTAGCAAATAGCTTTTTTTTTTTTTTTT